ACTTTAATTTTATTAATGTCTTCATATAGGGTTTTGTAGATAATGTTCCTCCAAGTAAGATTGTTTCTGCCTATGCTGACAGAGTTAGATCATAGCTGCTTCCTATCTGTTCTCCTTTGTTCGAATATATCCTTAACATTTTTGTACAAAGCATATCAGGAAGTAAGAACCTCTCATGAACACATACCTCTGTTCTACTTTCCCATTTCAGTGTTTGAATAAAGAATTCTATTTCTGAAACCATGTTTTCTCAGTACACAGTGCTTTAAATTTTCATGTACATAGACTGACTATTATTTTGTTTTATATCTTCTTCCATGTTTACATTTAGTAAATACTTCTTCTTTCCTCAAACAGATAAGAAGTCACCTCAATTTCCTCTGATTTCATTTTCAGATTTATTCTGCTTTGTGATGCAAACTGCAATTTTAAGATAAAAGTTCATTTTGCTTGTAGACACATTTCTTTATATCTTTTAGTGACTAATTGAACGCATTACACTAATTTATCTGTGATGAATCCTCCTACGTATCTTAGCAGGTCCATCTATATCTAAATATCAACAATATTAATATTGTACTTATTAATGCCAGCAGCAAATTATGCAATTTACTAGTTTCCTAATATGATTTAAATTTCTGAAGACAAGTCTTTCAGTGTGTATTTTATCGCTATCATTGCTTGTAGTAAGATATTTCTAGCCATGTGTTTCAGCACACACCTATAATCCCAGCACTCATGGGTATGGAAGGGGGGATTATAAGCTGGAGGACAGTTGAGCTCTATAGTGACACATTGTCTGAACATACCAGAGGGTGGAACACTTGTCTTCAAGTACACAGCCCCAGCTTTGATCTACAGCGTCACAAAGGGCATATTTATTTGTTTATATACGATTATGCATCAATAAAAATAAAAGCAAAAGCATCCTTTGAATGTGCAGTGCCTTGTTTCCATTTCTGTATATATAGAATCATAAAAGATATTGTACATTTGCATAAAACTTTCTGTAAATATACATTAACCATTCATAAATGGTTCAATATTGATGGACATTTAAATCAAGTCTCATTTTATTAGATATCATTAGAATGGATCACTTTTTTTTTGTGAGGTTATTTAAATCAATGCTAATTCCATAAGTAAAATTTCATCATATGCTTGATTTATAATTCAAATATTTTTGTGTCCATTTATTAATTTTGCATAAAAGTTATTGATATTTTATTTAAATCCAAATTATGTTATTTTTTATTATTATATTGCTGTAAATATAAAACAAGAAAATTACTTCTGATAGGTAACATATTGTCTTTATCAGTTTGTAGCTGCTTTACTATCACTGAATATGAGTCATATACACTTTTTGAAAATTATAAAATTTGCTATATAACTCTAGCTAATAAAAATCACACATGAACATTAAAAAGACTCAAAGGTTATACAGCTCAACTTATACCACATTTGCTAATTATATGCTATTTTAAATTTTAAATTAAATATTTGGGTTATTTTCTATTCCTTTTTCTTTTAGTTTCATTTTCATTTGTTTACAACACAAGAAGCATTTATATTTTAAACTCAATTTTATGTCTTAATTCCTTCTAACCAAATTTAAATTAGAAGATATTTGAAACTAATGAGCTGTTTAATTTTCATTTGTGTTTTCTTAAAGAAATTTGAGCCATTCAATGTTCATGTTTCTTTAGTAATTAATTTTTCAGGAATACAGTAGTTTTCAAATGTTTTTTTTTTCTTTTCTTTTCTTTTCTTTTTGCACATAAAGGGTTTATTTTGAATGTTTTAAGGAAGGATAGAGTTACATCATAATTATAAAAATTACTTACAGAATTAACAGAGTTGTACTGTGTATACTTCTAAATGCAGAGAACAGGAAACTGTCTACACGTTGTATAAAATAAAATTAAAAATGAATTCAAGCTCAAAAAATGAGGTCATTTATCTAGTTTTAAATGTGAACACGAAGACCTCTGAACTCTACTCAATCATTCGAAATGCACCAATGATGGAGAATACAGAGAGCGCAGCATTCCCAAGGAACACAGACATTTCAACCATAATTATTGTCTTGAGTGTTTTCCTGTGTAATCTTTGGAGGACTTTTGATCCCTTAGACAATCAGCGTTAAGTGTTTTCAGGCACTACAACTTGTGACGATCACAAAAGTTTTCTTTCTAATGGGTCTACCGTGCTCAGAGATTCAGGCCCAAAGCACTTCGGGGTTTGGCACATAAAACAAGACTAGAAAAGAAATCTGGCTTAGAAGCAACTGTGATCTTTAGAGCGTGCACAGTCCCTTCGAATGCTGCATGACATATACAACTGGAATCACCTTCTGTCGGCGCTACGACTGCTTCACCAGTGCGTCTTTACCCTACAACCACTAAACAGCACAGTAAGCAAATATACAGGAAACCAAAAGCAAATTGAAAGAAATAAAGAAAGAACCTAAATCTCTTTAACATGCAATTTTAGTTAGTTACATTGAACATTCTACTTAGAAGAGAGCATGCAAAAATGGATGGTCTGCTTTAAGGTTCTTCTCTGAAGTTTACGTGGCAGCCTGACGTCACACACGCACGCACACACGATACGATACTAGAGCAGGTAAGTGAGGAAGGCCAATAAATTTTATACACAGATTCATGTCTTGTGTTGCCACAAGCCCCATGGTAATTTTGGAAATTAATGCTGAACTCCTAAATGAGGAGTCAACATTCAGATACCAGAACAATGCAAGCAATGCATGCAGATCTGAACCGTGAGCCTAAGGGAAGCCCAAGGTGGCAGGCTCAGGACAAGAGTCAGTCACCATTAAGGGTGGTGGAAGTCACCAAAAGAAAAGAGTAGGGCGAGGGTGGGAAAACAATTAAGATGCAAACGAACAAATAAAAACCTTCCCTTCCCTTCCCTCAGCCTTCCGTAAAGGCAATAAATGGAATAGTGATCAAGGTCATCATCGCCATCATGTTGCATTCCTCCAGGCCGGGAGTTCATGGGTAGCCAAAGTAACCTGGGTTGCTTGCAGAAAACCACAATGCAAGTCATCAGATAATGGCAGACATGTTTCAATTGATCCAGCCCTTGGGACATTTCTAAAGGAATTTTACTGTCCAGTCACTGTGCCATGCTCTGCACTGTCGGTGTATGCAGGACACACCTACCTACTTGTGCCACTGATGTCAGTCACATGGGCTCTGAGGTTTACATGCAGATCAACACCTGCTGACATACACTGGAAGCACCAAAGACTGGGGTATATCACACTACACTGAGAAGCTTGTCCCTGGGTGCCTATGAGAAAACAGCGAGCACAGGGTGATTGCAGCCAGGGACAGAACTGAGGTACTGTGTTCACATGGTGAGCAGTTGTGACCATTCAGAAGTGTAAGGCGTTCACCATGTGCCTTAAGCCACAGAATGATTTCTTGCATCAGGAAGAGCCCCAACAAGGTAAGCACACCTACACTTGGCCAAGTCTATGGGGTTTGCTTGACAATATCCAAATTTGCCCAGCCACAAAAAGGATTTCCAACCTCAACAAGACTGGTCCCAGCTGACAAGTTACCAGGGTTCTTCCAAAACAAAGTGAGAGCAAGCAGATGTTTGGCTAGTCACCAACCACATTTTCAGTTCTATCTTAGCTTCATACAACCTTCCAGGAACAAACCATTTGAATGTACTGTATGGTGAAGAGATGCTATCCACCCATAACCAGCATGGATGACTGAGCCTTCCACAGTGACACATCACAGACATGCAGAGCCCATCAGGGCCACGGAGGAATGAACCTGCATGAATAGTACACCTGGAGCAGGAGTAGGCACTGCCACAACAGGATCAAGGCAGGAAGCCATATTTGTCCAACATTTTCTGTGGGGGAAAAGCCAGGAATTGTGGGAACAGGTAAGGAAGGGGAGAAGAGGCCTTCTGACCATAATAGTGTATCAACAATAACAGTAACAAAAATTAAAAGTCCCAGAGAACTTAATAGAAGGCAACAATGCCATATTTAAAACTTACATTTCAATACAAATGTACTGTTCTTGCAGGAATTTACCACATATAAAAACCACTGATGTGTTGTTACCTTTTATATCCATGTACTAACATTCTGATGACCACTGTGTACAAATGGACCAATGTGCCATTGCCATCTAAAAGCACATCTATACTATTTGTGTGAACCAAGGCCCTGGGCTTTATTTTAAAAGTACTTATGACTAAAGAGTAAACAACAACAAAAAACAAACAACAATAACAAAAATCACAGAAAACAAAGCTTAGACTAGAAGGCAGCCTTTTACCCAGATTCTCAACAGTTTTCTAAATTCTACTGTGGGTTGTTGACTGTTTATGGCTAATTTGTACCTGGACTCTTAGCTAAAAGCCTCCAGACTGAAATGGTACTCTGAAATTCTGACTTCTGAAACAACCTAATGTCCCTGTGTGCTTCCTGTGCCCAATATTAATTTTAAACAAAGAGCAGGCATATTATAAATATGACTGACTTGGGTCAAGCACTCCTGCTGAACTGGAGAAAACATTATCACCCCCCACCCCAATCCATAAGGAAAGGAGTGCCAGTGGTGAGCGCCTGTGTGTGTGTATAATATATACGTAGGCACACAGATGCAGATCTAGACAGGTAGCTATATAGATACAGAATCTCTCAAAAAAGGCAGTAACAAAAATAACAAACTATGCTTGCATTGTGGCAGCAGAATAAGACAGTGTCAGAGTGAAGGGGAAAATGGTTACAACCTATGCAGATTTAAATGATTATGATAGTAGCTTAACTTTTACCACCTTGCTTATAACCCCCAACAGACAGCCTTCTTGTAAGAGGGAGGATCCCCTCACACAGATGCTTTGAAGAGGAACGACTCCCTCAGATGCCTTGTGTTCGAATCAGTCTGCACTATGCAGAACAACACCAGCTCTGCTGGTGGAGATTGTGGGTTCGCAGGGATATCTAAGCTTTCATTAAACTGGAAAGCAATCAAGTCTTTATGTCTACAAATTATACATTTAATAGTTCCACAAATTTGGCAAAGTTTGTGATGACATCTAGGATGTTTTCACCAAATCGTAGACGTAAATATGGAAGTCATCATCAAACTTGATGAAATAGACAGAAGGTTTGGCCTCTACTTGATGGATGACCATGCCAGTCCTTTTCGAGCCATCTTCTTTGGCATATTCCACTTGCTTGCCTACCAGGCTGTCCACAACTTCATCTGGCTCCCTCTCTGCTGGAGGCGAATCATTGGAATCGGGCATGATGCGGAGGTCGCCTTCTTTGTAATCATCTAGCAGCTGGTACATGTACAAGACAGAGTCTTTCTCATAGGTGATCTAAAACCATGTGTTCATGACAGGTGCCCGTGCCAAGACCATCCCCCTCCACTCATCCTTAGATCCATCCTCTGTTTCAAACATGTGCTCCACTGCTTTGCCAATCATTGTGTCCGCTAAGTGTGCATCACTGATCCGAGATGTTGCAACTCTATCAGGGAGAACTTCAAGTGCAGACACTCTTTCATCTTTATTAGGTTCTAGTCCATAAACACAGTCAAATCCGTCATACTTTATAAGATACAGGGAAGGATTCACAGGCACCTGGTCCAAGACAGTCCCCTTCCACTGGGTGACAAGGTCGTTGCCCTCTCTCCATCCATGCTGGATCCTGCATCTTACGATGTTTCGCCGGGGCTGGGACACAGGTTTGCTTGTTCCCACACTGGTCTGATGTTTTTTGTGAAATGTCCTCTTCTTCATCATGTTTGCAGACACTCCAGTATGGCCTGTGATCCCAACACTGGGGTCAGAGGCAGGAGGATCAACATGTTCAAGACCCTGCATCAGCTCTGGACCGCTGGTCAGGTGTCTTCCCGAATGGGGTCTTCATTCATCTGTGTTTATGTGAGCAGCAGAGCTGCTGGACTAGGGTGAAAATCCAATATTCTCAGATAGGAAGCTTCCCACAGGTTAGTGTTCTTGTTAATCCACCATTCAGGTGTCTTCGTTTACAAGTTCAGAGAAAAGCCATGGAATTCCAAGCACTCTGTCGGCCCCCGAGGCTGCCCACGGGGCCGCTGTGGCTCGCTCTCGTGCTCCCCGCCAGCCCAGCAGGAGCCAGATGGCGCCTCCCCCCCCCCGCCCCCCCCCCCGGCCCCCCCCCCCCCCCCCCCCCCCCCCCCCGGCCGCCATGGCGCACTCTTTTCTTTTCTTAAAGGACTATTCATAATCTCTTCCTGTACTTGGGCTCAATTCTTTTCTAATAACAATTTAATTCTGGTTTGAAATAATAATACTACATTATTTTCTTACAATACTATTATTATTATCAATTGTCATGCTATTTCTCTCGTAGCAACATGTTGATTAGGACATTTAAAGCCTAAATTCTCTGTTGGCATGCAAGGTGTGCTTTCTTCCTTAGTTTTTGTTACATTTTCATATGCAATTACTTGGTTTCTTGGTTTTTAGGAGCAGAGATTGGGGCCCTCATTTTTCCTGAGTCATGTACTTAGTGAGACTTCCATCAAGGTAATGTCCAGGCTCCAGAACATTAATCTAACCCTTAATATTTGATTTCAGTTGCTGATATTGTCAGAATAGATCATTATACCAAGAACGTGAAAAGCAAGGGATAAGTGAGCCAACTTAAAATTCAAGTTTTCCAGTTTTGTACTTCTGTCAATATTAGTGCATAGTAGTGTATGCCAGACAACATCAATACCTACTATCTATTGATATGTTGCAGAGGAGTATAACAAATACCACAGAAAACCTAACTTTAGCTTATACAGTTAATCACTTATTTCTCTTAAAGTTTCACATAAGACTCTTTGCTTAATTTGATAAAATAATCTTAAAATATTAGCCTAGTAGTCACACTTTCTTCTTGTCAGTGTGTGTATATACATAGATGCATTCACAAACTTCTTAATGTTGGCTTAGCCATCCCTACATTACAGAAGGAATTGTAACCAGTTTGTTTCTAATATACATAATTCTCATTTATGCAATCATGTATTAATATCTAACTCACATCTGTCTTAAGATGCTAACATTCCTATCTATGGTGAGGGGCACTAGAGGCAAAGGAGAGTTCCCTGAGAAATGATAGGAAAGCCAGAGAGTGATTATTGAAATAGTAACAACAGAGGAAAGATTAGGACCCAGGTGCCGAGAAAAAAACACAAAAGTCCATTTAGTGGACTCCCAGCCTAGAGTCTCTCCCATCCCAAAGGGATGAAGCTGTTACATTTGTTATCCCTGATGACTGGGCTTCTGTTTCCCCTGGAAGTCAATTCTTTGTCCATCCCAGGGGATTTGCTTAGGATCTCAGAAACAACCTAGAGCACCTCTGTTACAGTTTCAAGAAAGGGAAGGGATCTTTAGCTGCCTGTATCATGAACTCAGTTGACTGCTCTCTGATCACTCACGCTTGATGATGTAGCCTTGCCAGGCCATGGAGGAAGAGAATCCAAACAGTTCTCATGAGATTTAACAAGCTGATGGCAACAGTGAAGAGCTCTCTCTTTCAGTGGACTAGGGGAAGAGGTTGAGGGAAAAATGGAGGGAGTATGGGAAAGGGGGAATTGAAGGAGGGGCTTCAATTGGGATATATAATGAATAAATTGTGAAGAAAAAAATTAAAAAATAAAAAAGAATATCTGTTTAATTTTAATATGATACTTCTTAAGGTATTCACACTAGTTATCACATTTTTAAAACCATGTATGTAGATGCATTCACATACTTCCTAATGTTTGCTTAAGCATTCCAACATTATAGAAAAATATTGTAACCAGTGTTATGTTCTATAAACTCTTTAAAAAAAGAAGGTGACTTAGTATACATGATTATTACATTTGTAATCATTTATTAATATCTACCTCAGTTATTCAAGATGCTAACATGCATGTGAATGAGTAACATTTACCAGTGTGTCTCCCACATGGTAAACAATGGACAAATCACTGAAGCTTCAGCTATGCCTCATGAAGTTGACCTTCTATTGCTCAGAGGTGAACATGAGGCATGTTAAAAGGTAAAGTTACAGTGTAATATGTCACGAAATGCAATTGGTTGATTTAGCTATGAAGTGACTGGGACAGGGCAGTACAGCCTCAGTACAGTCATTGGAAGGCCCCCTTCCCTCTTTCCCGGCTCCCCCCTCTCCTGCCCCTCTCCTTCAGAAAAAGGGACCCCCATACCTACCCATGCCAGCACATCAAGTCTTATTAGGACTAATATATCCTCTACCTCAGTGGCCTGGCTAGGCAGCCCCACTAGGCAAAAGTGATGGAAAAGCATGTAAGAGAGTTCTTGTCAGAGACAGCACCCTCTCCCTTTGTTAGGGAACCCATATAAAGACCAAGGTGTCCATCATGTATATATGTGTTAGGGGCCTAAGTCCAATCCATACATGGTCTTGGCTGGTGTTTCAGTCTCCACAAGCCTCACTAGGACCAGGTTAGTTGGCTCTGGTGGTCTTTGCATGTGAAGATCCTATTCCCTCCTGCTCCTTCTATCCTTCCTCACACTCTTCCACAAGGCTCCTTACTCCCTGTCCAATGTTTGGCTGTAAGTCTCAGTATCTGTTTAGAGCTGCTGCTGGGTGAAGCCTCTCAACAGACAGCTATGCTAAGCTCCTGTCTGCAGACATATTAGAGTGTCGTTAATTGCACTATGGGTTGACACTCCCGTGGTGTGGCCAGGCAATGTTGGACACTCTCTCAATTTCTGTGCTATAAATTTTGGGTCGAAGTTTTTTTAGGTGGGTTGCTGTTCCCCTCCCTTCACTTGGAGTCCTATCTGGTTAGAGGACTAGAAGAGAGAGAACAGGATAGGAGAGAGAATGCTGAGGGAAATGAGGGTGGAGATCTGATGTGGGCAAAGAGGAGGAGGTGGGTAAGGAGGACAGAGGGTATACAGAGCACAGAGAAATCATGGCCTGGGGCATCTCTAAGACAGGCTGGGGACTGACCATAGCATAGGCTCCTGGGAGGATATGGGGTGACTCTAGTGGTGACACTTACTAGTGGGACATGAAGACAGAACAATAAATACTTTCACAAACAATGTCATAGGCAAAGGCCCTCAACTATCATAGTGGGATGTGCTTTCCTACGTAACTGTAGGTTTTCATTTTAACACAAAGTTCCAAAGGAAATTTAAGATTTTCTGTCTCTGAGACATGCTTCAGTTTTTGTTAGATCATCTTTGGCTGGTGGAGGGAGCATTGTCAACGCAAATGGAAATTTTCATTTAGAGAATGTATGTATATTTACACCCAGACTTACAGTATTAGAGGTATTTTTATGTATTAACCCTTATAATATATTTAGACACTCTTACTGTTATTTTAACCTCTCTCTCCTTAATTTGTATTTATCTTCCACCCACATTTTCTATTTGAAAGCACCTCTTTTCCCATTTCCTTAATTGAGTCACTATACTCTACTATTCCATTCTCATTGATCCTCCCAGTCCTCTGAACCAGTCAATGGTCCTGTTTTAATTTCCTGGTTTCTGCAGTCACTCCAGGATAAGTACTTTCATCTGAAGACTTGGAGTAGGAGACTCAGAAAGAGTGTACAGGTGAGTCTGTCTTACTTGGTATAGGATACCTTATATAATAGGAACTTCTCTAGTTCTATGAATTTTCCTCAGGTTCACTATTTCATTTTTCTTTAGACTCTGGCAGAATATATATGGTATGTGTTATCACATATTCATCATTTCGTCATTGATTGAAAGTTAGAATACTTTTTTATTTTTTCAAAATATGGTAATTATACCATCTCCCCTGCCTCATATCCCTTGAAATCAAAGGACCTAGCTAATTTTGCATTGGTGTTTCTTTGATAATTTCTTTAATAATTTCTAGTTAACTTCTAGGTTATTTGTCTTCTCCTAAAGTCACTTATTTAAATTAAATATGATTTTTCTTTATTTTATTCAGTTTCAAATTATTTCTATCATATAAGGAATATATTATATAAGGAATATATATTATGATTTTTTTATATCATCAGGGCTAGGAGCAGTTTTTATCTATTTATAGTGATATGTTCACTCATTCATTTCAATTTAAATTTATTGAGCCTGCACCTGTCCCATTAGCACTGTAAGTATAATGTATTGCATAGAACACATGAAAAAAATAACTTGTAACTACAAATATACAAACTCAGCCACAGACTGGTAAATAAAAATGACCATCTAACCTGTTGGTTTCATATACATATTCCTTATGGTTTCTCATAGTAAATCTAAAACTGAAGATTTAGAAAATATTTTATTTACTCTATACATATTGATTCTGAGGACAATCACATCATATTTTAAGTTTTAAAGTGGGACAAATATAGAACCCAAACCACTGAACCAATGTCCTCAAGTATTAAACTGGAAAAGAAGGATCAGTGCTTTCTCTGTTACATCTTTCTGTTAATAGTTGTGAAAGGGAGAACATTCTGATGCCTCTTTTTGCATTGCTGTCTTGATTTTCAGTTTTTCAATTTTAGCAGAGGGGCTCATAAATAAACATGTCCACAGCTCTAGTTGGAAGTGACAGTTTATTCCTACTATTTTGATGGATTGTACAAGATATCCACAGTTCTTGTCTCTGACTAAACATCCATGCGTGGACTGTAAAATTAACCATAACATGGCAGGATGCCAAAGATTTTGGAACTGCTTCCTCTTTGTGATGCTCGGTGTCAAGTGAAACTTTTACTTTAGTAACAATAATTTTTAAAAACTGCATTTGGGGATTTGTCACTGTAGCCAGTGTGTATGCTGCCCTTCTGTGAACCCAGCTTGCTTAAATA